CTCTAGATAGGATTAATTTCCCATGCCAGTTTGGTGGCTTCTTTCTCCATGTGTTGGTGTCTTAGTAGCAGTGACGGCTTAAAGGATAGAGATTCTTACTTTGCTTCCTGGTGAAAAGTGCTCCCTTCTGGGAACCAGGACCTTTAGGTTAATTATTTCTTGCACTTTCCCCTCCACAAACCCATTCCTCATTCTGGGTTCAAATCTGGATGCTACTGTTTACAAGCTGATGAACTCAAGCAAGTAACTTAGGTGGAACCATACCATTTTTCTTGCTTATAAAGTGGGGATAATAATAGTACATATTTAAGCTTGTAAGTACTCAATAGTTAATATTCATAAGGCATTTAGAAGAGTACTTGGTCTATGAGAAGTGCTCTATCAGTGATCATTTGTTATTAATGCATTATAATACTTTGCTATGTGAAAATATGGTCCATACATAAAAAGAAAAAAATTCACAAGAAAATACTAACCCTATATGCTACTATTAGTTACATCAAAATATAAAAATAAAAACTAACAGGGTTACAAAATTACTGTTAATCCATAATCATAGTAAAGGGTTTTACGATACCTCTGTCACCAAACAGGTTATAAGAAAAAATTTGAACACACATACTATGTTTGAAAACATAATTATGCTGTGTTAATGTGCAAATACCCTGTATCCAAATATTAGTCCATACATTATTTTCAAAGAAACATAAAACATGGATAAACTGTGACCAACTAAAAATTTTACAAGTAAGATAACTGTGTTGGCAGGAAGTTAAGTCTATCGCCTTAAAAACAAACAAAAAAATCACTTTGGCTTCTAACAGTTAGGGGCTATTTCTAATCACACGGGGAGATGTCTAAGAATAAGAGGTCCAGAGCTGATGCTGTCAGAGGCCTTTGGGGAGCACAAATCATTGGAATTTTTTTTTCTGCACCCTGGCTTTTATTATCATAGTAAAGAAAACAGCTGTTTAAATTCCAGTCCCTCAGGTCACTTACATAATTATCTATTATCTAAGATAAATAGATAATAGATGAGGAAAACAAGTGAGATGGTATTCTCTTTAGTTACTTCTACCTACTTCTCTCCGCCAGCACAGTGAAAAAAAAAAAAAATCCCAACAAAACAAAAAAAACACTGGTCTTCAGAAAAGCCTGGAAGATTATTTTCAATACTGCTTCTAGACAATTTGAACAAAAAAATTTTTTTAAGTAAGTAGGGGAGAATGGACACTAGAGAAAGCCACAGATAGTATTTACCATACTAGGATGGAAAGAGAAGAGAGTATCATGAAGTCAATGTACTCTGAAAAAAAAATCATTCAATTAGAAAAAATATATCACAGATATTGTCTAATTTCTATTATGATAAACTAAGTCACTCAGAAGCTATTCAGAAATGCCTTTTTGAATATACAATGTATTGCTGTTTTAAACAGCAAATTATACTAAGTACATTGCATTAAAGTTATGGAATATAAGTTAAAATTTATTTTAAGGAACAGCTACAGACATAAATGTTTATATTAAAACAAAAAGGCTGGAGGGACCAGCAGTTAGTGTAATTGCTATGTCGCTGGACTCCCATGTGGTCAACTGCAGTTCAGGTCCCAGACCTGGTGGCTTAAACTCACGCCAGGAGCGTGTGTTTGCGTGCCCAAGATCCCAAGAGGAGAATGGAGGAAAAGGGATTGCGGTGCAGCCATCCCCCTGGGGGGTGATTTCTCATTTTCTATCTGTCTCTCTCTGTCTTTCTGGTGAGTGCATGTGCCCTATAGCAAAAAACTCTCAAAAAAAAAAAAGGCTGGAAATTAATAACTAGTGGCCTAACTTATAGACATTGATAAAGAAGTCCCAAACTCATAAAATTTATACTTTTCATTCCTAGTATAAATGAACAGCTACAGACATAAATGTTTATATTAAAACAAAAAGGCTGGAGGGACCAGCAGTTAGTGTAATTGCTATGTCGCTGGACTCCCATGTGGTCAACTGCAGTTCAGGTCCCAGACCTGGTGGCTTAAACTCACGCCAGGAGCGTGTGTTTGCGTGCCCAAGATCCCAAGAGGAGAATGGAGGAAAAGGGATTGCGGTGCAGCCATCCCCCTGGGGGGTGATTTCTCATTTTCTATCTGTCTCTCTCTGTCTTTCTGGTGAGTGCATGTGCCCTATAGCAAAAAACTCTCAAAAAAAAAAAAAGGCTGGAAATTAATAACTAGTGGCCTAACTTATAGACATTGATAAAGAAGTCCCAAACTCATAAAATTTATACTTTTCATTCCTAGTATAAATTACTGTGGGGTCACTCAGTGAGGAATTGAGTCTGAAGTATCTTAATATTGGTTACATTCCTAGGGCTTTCCTCCAGTTTGAGCTCTCAGATGTACAAAGAAGAATAAGAGGTCCAGAGCAGATGCTCCCCAAAGGTCAATCAGAGATCTTTGGGAAGCCTCACTAAATTTTTTCTAAAATTAATACTCTTAAGTTCACCCAAGGAAAATTTTCATATTTTTCCTAATGTACAGGCATCATTGAAGGCTGTTTTTTATATTCAAAGTTTCGTTGCAGTGCAAATTCAGACAAGTTTCCTACTGAAAGTGGAAAACTAGAAGGCTTTCCAATATTGATGACATGACATTTCTTTCCAGAATAAATTCTTACATCTCTACAAATTAAGAGACCATTCAAGGCTTCCCATAGTCACTTCTGTGAGAATACTTAACTATCCTTCTCTCAATACTGTGAATACTTTTGCTGTAGGGTTTTCCTTATTTCTTATATGAGCTTTCCTATGATGGGTGATATTCCATGTGCTTTTTAAAAGATGGTGTCACTGAAGCCTTCTGAATTTTGATGACCTTCGTGTTTCTCACTTAGTATGTGCTGTCAGGTGACTCCCTGGAGATATCACTAAAGGCTTTCCTACAGCTATTCCATTCTTCACATTTTTTTTCCCAGCATATAATCTTCTATGCAAATAAGGGTGAGAGTCTGAGTTAAAAGTTTTACCACACAGATTATACTCACATAGTGTCTCTCCAGAGTGAATTCAATAAAGAAGTTATTAAATACTATTTCATACTGATTAGCTTAAAAGGATAAAAGTTTGCTAAGGCATTTCTTCATTAATTTCATGGCAAATCTTCCAGATGGTTCTCAGTGATCATGGTCTCTTGGTATTCCTATCTTGTATAATCTTCTCCCATACTGTATCAGGATTGGTCTGCCGGACCAATACATTATGGAAGTGAAAGTATGTCCTTCTGAAGCTAGGCCATACAAGACACTGTGATTTCTGCATGGGCCCTCTCTTGTATTGTGTGTTCTTGGGGGAACCTGCTGACACACTGTAATGATACTAAGCCATGTGGAGAGGCCCATGTGGTGAGGAACTGAAGGCCCCTGTCAACAACTAGCACTAACATGTAAAGGAGCCACATGGAAGTGAATCCTTCATGAGTGAAGCTTTCAGATGACTGCAGCTCTGGCTGACATCTTCAATGTAACCTCACTGGAGATTCCGAACCAGAAATACAGAGTTAAAGCAGTTGCCAAATTCATGACCTGACAGAAATAATGAGATAATGTTTGTTCTTCAAAGAGACAAAGTTTCAGGGGATAATTTGTTATGCAGCAATAGATAATTCACACATCCAGAGTATGTTCTCTCAAGTTGTCTCAGGGATGAGAGAATACAAAGTGCTTTTCTGTAGAAACTCATATCCACCTATTATGCAGTCTCTTATGCACAGAAAGATAAGAGTTACTTGTGAAAGATTTTCCACACTGATTACATTCATAGGGTTTTTCTCCAGTGTGAGTTCTTACATGTTTCTTAACAGCTGAGAGGTTATTAAAGGCTTTCCCACAGTCACTGCATTCATAGGGTTTCTCTCCAGTATGTATTCGCTTGTGCACAGTAAGAGAAAAGCTACTGCTGAAGGATTTTCCACACTCATTACACTCATAGGGTTTTTCCCCAGTATGGGTTCTCATGTGCTGTATGAGATAGGAACTCTTCCTAAAAGTTTTCCCACAATCTTGGCACTCATAGGGTTTCTCCCCTGTATGAATGCTATTATGCCCTGTAAGGGAGGACCTTGTGCTGAAAGCCTTTCCACACTGATTACATTCATGGTGATTCTCTCCTGTATGAATTCTCTTGTGGCTTTTGAGGTTACAGCTAGTACGGAAGACATGAAAACACTGGTTACACTCATAGGGCTTTTCTCCGGTGTGAATTCTCACATGCAGTCTAAGGGATGAGGGATCACTAAATGCTTTTCCACAGTGGTTGCACTCGTAGGGCTTCTCCCCATTATGGATTCTCTTATGAATGGTAAGGTAAGATCTACTGCTGAAGGATTTTCCACATTGATTACAGTCATAGGGTTTTTCTCCAGTATGAATTCTCTTGTGCTGAGTAAGGTTAGATTTTGTGCTGAAGACTTTAAAACACTGATTACATTCATTGAGTTTCACTCCACGATGACATCTTTCCTGTGGATTAAGAGATGAACAATAACTATCTTATGAATGGTAAGGTAAGATCTACTGCTGAAGGATTTTCCACATTGATTACAGTCATAGGGTTTTTCTCCAGTATGAATTCTCTTGTGCTGAGTAAGGTTAGATTTTGTGCTGAAGACTTTAAAACACTGATTACATTCATTGAGTTTCACTCCACGATGACATCTTTCCTGTGGATTAAGAGATGAACAATAACTGTTCTTCATAATAGTTTTAGTATTTAATATGGTCAGTATGAATTCTAAGAAATTTTGTCACATCATTATAATTGATGTTTTGGCTACTTTCAGTACTTGTATATGGCTTCTGCCCATTTTGAGCTCTTACACAGTAAAAAAGACAGATGCTTTGCCATAGGCCCTTATATTCACACAACATTTTCTGATAAATACAAGAAAATATATGCTTCAAATAGTCAATATCTGAGTTATGCTTATAAGAATATTTACTTGTGGAAATTCTCAGTAAAGAAACACATTTGGGAGGCCAGTAGGTGGAGTAATGGCTATGTCAGTGGACTCTCATGTAGTCGATCAGTTTGAGTCCTGGACTCAGTGGCTTAAACTCATTCACCGGGCGTGTGTGCATGCATGCCCAAGATCCTGAGAGGAGAATGGAGGAGAAGGGATTGCGGCATGGCCATCTCCCTTGGGGGGTGATTTTTCGCTTTCTGTCTCTCTGTCTCTGTCTTTCTGAGACATCCCCTATAGAAAAACCCTCCAAAAAAAAAAAAAAACAGAAAAAAAAAAGAAACACATTTGGAGTACATTTATATTCTTCTATGCATTCAGTATAGATTCACAGCATCTCTTAGAGTCACCACTATCTCGAGTGCAAATGACATTTTTCCCTTAATGAAGCTACTGGGTATTTTGTCTTTGCTAAGTTTACACATTCTGTTACTGTGGTGCTATAGGTTGCATAATAGTTTGTCCCATGAAAATTCATGTTTTGGAAGCTTGGTCCACAGTGTAACGGCTTTGAGAGGTGCTGAGACCTAATGAGGTGGGACCCAATGGAAGGCACCATCTAATAGGCTGGCAGTGACAGAAGGACAAAAGAGTTAGTGGTAATTCTATATCCTCTTTCTTTGCATGAGTCCACCTTCCTTTCTGTTTCCATAAGCCATGTTGTGATATAGCAATGAAAGCCAGAATGCTGCTGGCCCATGCTTTTAGACTTTCCAGTCATTCAGAATTATAAGCCAAATGAATTTCTCTTCCCTATAAATCTCCTAATCTCAGGTATTTCTGTTTAGTTACATAATCCTGGGCTAAGTCAGGAAACTAGCACAGAAAGCAGAGTTGTGTTGCCATGCAGATATCTAAAAAGGTGGAAGTGGCTTTGGAACTGGGAATAGGAAGGAAGAGGTTGGAAGAGCATGCAGAAGCATGCTGGTAAGTCTCTATTCAGAAGGAGGCTCAGAAAATGAATAGTTTAGAAATAAACTAAGTTTTTATATTGGTTAAGTAGTTGTGACTACAATGTTCACAGAAATATGGACAGCAAAGGCCATTCTGAGGTGTCAGATGGGTACGGGAAAGAAAAAAGAGTAAATGGGAATTATGTTTCTTCTCTCTTTGAACATACCTACTATTCACTCTGCTTTAGTTGGCAGTGTTGTGATATAGCACCAGATGGCAAGTCAATGCTGGCCTCACACCTTTGGACTTTCCAGCCACCAGAATCATGAGTCAAATGAACCTCCATTCTTCATAAATACCCAGTCTGAAATATTTCTATTTGGTAACAAAATAACAGACTAAGACATGTGGAAAGCCAAATATTACCAGCTAGTCTTACCGCTTTTATACTTTTAGACTGTCCTTTTCTAAAAGCATGCTTCTTAGGAGTTAGCCATTTGGCTTTAAGTAGAGTTTCCAAATCTGAAATGAATTAAAAAGAAATTTGAACTGATGGAGAAAAGAAATAGTAAAGTACACATTTAAGTAAAGGCTGCATTAGTAAAGAGGGTTTTGAGGAAGTCTACAATGAAGAGGGCTTGGAAACAGAAATTTAGGCATTAATTTTTAAAAAGATTCTAGAAAGATTCATATTTATCAGAGATGGACAAAAGAAGAAATGATAAAGAACACAACGTGGGAAGAAACTGAACTTAAATTTTAAAAAGAACAGCTTCTTTTATTTATCTCCTGTGGACAAAGTATGAGGTGATGAATTGAGAGTTAGCGAGGAAAGAAGAAAGTAAACAAAGACGCTCATACCAAATGTTCTTGTCCCTCTTAGTTATAAAAAGGACATTTTATAAAGTTCTGTGATTGACATCAGTTAATCTTCCCCAACACTCCTCCCCAACACTCAACAGACAGGCCAGAGCTACTCATCATGCAGGCTCATATTCACCTGGTGCTCACCTGGACAGGTGCTTTGGAGAATTCTCTCCTCTGTCATCATCTTGTCTTCTTGTTCCAACTGGGTTATCAGATTGGGTTTATCAACAGGACATCCTACTTATAGAGAAAATATATATAACATAGGGGAACTGTGGGGGGGACAACTTAAACTAAAGCCGATGATTCTGAAGATAGGTAAGTATGACTTTAGGAGCAGTGGAATAATTACAACTACACGCTAATGAGTATAATAACTCTCACAAGGAACAAAACGATCCTCAACTCAATATTCATGGTGATACAGCATAAGTAATCCCAGAAGCCCATACCTAAATTCAAGTACAGTCACATGCTACATGAAGGACATCCAACACAAAAGGTCATGTATTTTATGATCTCATTTATATGAAATGTTCTGAATAGGCAAATCTAGACAGACAGATTAGTGGGTAATAATGGCAGTGGGTGGGGAAGGCAATAGGTACTGATTGCTTAATAGGGATAAAGTTTCATCTAGGGGTGATCAAGATGTTCTGAAATTAGATAGTGTGGATGGTGGCAGAACATTTTCAATATATTAAAAGCCACTGAAATACACATTTTGAATCGGTTAAGATGGTATATTTATGTTCTGTGAATTTGAACAAAATAAATTTAAAATTCACTTCATAAAAAAATAAGAAAAATGTCTTGCTATCCGAGCCATTAAAATAATGCAGAAATGTTGTCAAGTTTACCAAGTGAGGCCAGGTTCCTACAGTTCTCCAGCATCACGTCTCTGTACAGAGTTCTTTGAGAAGGGCCCAGCAATGCCCACTCCTCCTGGGTGAACTCCACGGCCACATCCTCAAAGGTCACCAAGTCCTAAACCATCACAAATATCATGGCTTAGCCAAGGATTACCACAGTCAATGTAAGCAGGGAGAAGGTTGAGGATGACAGGCCTAGACAAGGACTTAGAGCACAAGACAAGAAAGCTCCTCTCACTGGCTTATGGGCTCAGTCATTAACTCCCATCTCCTGTCTACTAAGGCCCCCTCTCAAGGTCCAATCACCATAGTGATTTTCTTTTTCCACCCAGTCTGTGAGCTCCTTTAGTCATCTTTTCCTCAATCTCCAAGATTCAGTATAGGCCTGGGATAATATCAAACACTTGATAAATCAATGAATCATTTCTCAAAGCTATGCTAAATTGCTTGAGTTTGAGGAACAGTCATGGCATTGTTTGGTTTTTCCTTAAACTCTCAAGAACACAAATATGACGTACACAGTGAGCCCAGAAGGAAAATGTGGTAAATGTTCATAGACACTGACATTTGCAGGGCAGTACTCATCTTTAATCAGATACCTGGAGACCTTGGGCTACATGAGGATTTGGCTGTGAGGCTCCAGTCCACTGGAAGATAACAAGTCCAAATTCTGGCCAAAGGAATAAAGATTTGGAAAATGAATATCTGACTCACCTGCAACCAGCTTGTCAGAAACTCATTAACCAGCCCTCGCTCTTCTGTGCATCGTTTTGGCTGAGAGGATGGGAACAGGGAGGACTGAGCTGAAGAAGAATAAATGGGTCAGATGAATCCTAACTTGCTCTGTGTCCTAACATGCATGAATCGGGAGGCTTCTCCACCCATCTGTGATTGACTACATATATCCCAATAGCCCCTTACAAACATCAGCATAAGCACACCTGCACAGCACATACCTATACTTCTCCCACACAAACATCCTCCCATGGTTCAAGAAACGAGAGCAGAAAATAGGGCTCAAAAATCTGACTGCACTTGAGAAAAGAGATTATTCCCATTTCACAGATGAGACTAAAGTTATAAGGGAATCACTTTTTTTTTTTTTAAATCATGTATACAGGGAGAATTAAAGGCATAATTTAATAGCTCCCTCATAGTCACCATACAGGTCAAACATCCACAAACATTCTAACATCTAAGTTCCAAATCCCATGAGCCAGTCAATCAGACACCAGGGATCTTGTAGCTCATAGGGTTCCACTGGAGCCTCCTCTGCTTGGCCCAAACCTTCTCCACAGCTACTTGGCCTCCTACTTCCCTGTCCCAATCTGTCTGTTAGAGGCCTTTAAAGCCTGGATTCTGGGGCTGCCAGGATCCAGTAACTCACCACAAGTGGGGGGCAGGACAATGGCTGCCATCCTAGGACTGCAACAGCAAAATTTCCTGAAGAACAGGACAGTGGGAGAACCGGGACACTGCTCCTTTTACTCCCACGGGACACTTAGGACAGCACTCTGGAGTAAACAGGAAAATACAAAGTCTTCACAGCTTCTCTCCCTGGGTTACTGAGGACAGGTCTTCTTTCGCTTGTCCATCATGGCCTCCTTCACAGTGCAACTTGTCTTTAATATCAAACCTTTATCTTACTTAGTAGGTGAGAAACTCAGAGTGAGCTGAAGGTAAATCTAGTCTTCCTCTGTCTCCAATGGATGACAAATATGTCACTGCTCTACTCCCTTTGAAGACGCAGCATACTCATCCCATCTATATTGTCACAAACACATCCCTGGCTACAACCTCTCACCCCCTGGACTTTGGCATCTGACTCCCAGTATCCCTTCATCCTCCAGTCACACCTCACGTAGATAATGTCAGAGGCCCTCGAGGTATCAAGAGTTCCTCAACTCCAGGACCCTCTGCCCTCACACTCCTGTGTTCTCATTATGCCATGGGTCTTATGGTAGCCTTTGTCACCCCTGGCTTGTTCCACCATATAGAATAATAATTCAGAAATCTCCTTCTCTCTGAACCCAATCCCGACTCCTACCTTGTTTGCTCATATTTTCTCTATCCATGAGTCTGCTGACCACACAAAGACCTTAGTCTACCCACTCTCTTACCTTCTTGTTCTTCATCAGTCATCTCTCCTCATTTCATACTTATCAGTTGGGATTTCACTATCCTTCGTTTCAACAGATTTCCTTATTTCTACCTCTTAGCTTCTCACCAGTCAGGCACAACTCTAATTGCTGGCTTGCTCTACGGCACCATTTGGGCGGATCAATTTGCACAAAGGCCGTAAAAATGCCATTTCTTGAAAAAATATGGTCACCAATGGGAAGGGAGCCCTGCAGCACAATCTTACAGGCCAATGTGGCTTCCCACTCATCAAACCTCTGATCTCTTTAAATTTCACACATCCTTACCTTTCCCTTCTTTGGTAACCAGCTTTCTAAATAGCCCTTGATCATCTGAGCCTCCTGATAGTCTGACTGCACACTCTAGTGCGGTCCCAACCAGCACACACACTGAATTAGGGCTGACCTGGGTAACCACCAGAACAGTGGAGGGGACTTCTGAAGACAGGTCCTGGAAGGCACTGCAGCTTCAACCTTGGTCTTCTGGACAGCTGTTCTAGAGGAAGCCTATTCCCATGTAGCATCAGGCAACCCTGCGCAGAGGCCTATGTGGAGAAAAGTTGAGGCCCTTCACCAACAGCCAGAAGCAACTTGCCAGCCATGGGAGTGAGCCCCTTAGAAGTGAATCCTTGAGTACCAGTCAGACCTTCAGATGATGTGGCTGCAATTGATATCCTCTTTCAACCTTCTGAAACTTCTCAGCCAGAACCTTCTGGTCAAGCTGCTCCCGAATTCTTGAACAATAAATATTATGAGAAATAATAAGTGATTGTGTGTGTGTGTGTGTGTGTGTGTGTAGATTTTTGCCCTAAGGCATGTATGCTCACTGAAGAAAGAAGGAAAGTGAGAAATAACCCCTTAAAGGTGTCACTCCACAATCCCTTCTCCTCCATTCTCCTCACAGGATTTTGAGTGCACACACACACATGCACCTGCATCAGGTGTGCTTTTAAAGCTGCTGGGTCCAGAACTTGAACCACAGAGTTGGCCATGTGGGATCCAGTGCCTTAACCACACCACCTGCTGGCCCCTGATCACTGTTGTTTCTTTTTCTTTTTTTTTTCAAAGAATTATTCCCTTATTTAATTCCATTTATTATTATTATTATTATTATTATTATTATTATTATTTTTAATTTGACCAGAGAAAGACAGAGAGAGAAAAAGGAAGAGAAAGTGAGAAAGCAAGCAGCCGGGTCCAGGACTTGAGCTGCGGTCTGCCACGTGGCAATCCAGTGTGATTGTGTGTGTGTGTGTGTGTGTGTGTGTGTAGATTTTTGCCCTAAGGCATGTATGCTCACTGAAGAAAGAAGGAAAGTGAGAAATAACCCCTTAAAGGTGTCACTCCACAATCCCTTCTCCTCCATTCTCCTCACAGGATTTTGAGTGCACACACACACATGCACCTGCATCAGGTGTGCTTTTAAAGCTGCTGGGTCCAGAACTTGAACCACAGAGTTGGCCATGTGGGATCCAGTGCCTTAACCACACCACCTGCTGGCCCCTGATCACTGTTGTTTCTTTTTCTTTTTTTTTTTCAAAGAATTATTCCCTTATTTAATTCCATTTATTATTATTATTATTATTATTATTATTATTATTATTTTTAATTTGACCAGAGAAAGACAGAGAGAGAAAAAGGAAGAGAAAGTGAGAAAGCAAGCAGCCGGGTCCAGGACTTGAGCTGCGGTCTGCCACGTGGCAATCCAGTGCCTTTAACCACTATGCCACCTGCCAGCCCCATGATCATTGTTGTTTTAAATGAGTAAGGTTTGGGGTAATTTGTTAGGCAGCAATAGACAATGATTCATCTCATATTCAGCAGATGATTCCATGTCCTACTTCTCATAGTAGCAATCAAGAGAAAGAATCTATCACAGCAGACATGGAGGCCCTAGACATTCTTAGGCCTGACTTCCTTGAGGATGTAGAAGAGAGGCCCTAAAAGTAAAGTAAGGGTGGGCACAGGGCCTTGAGTGAGTGGACTGCCTGCAGGTTTGCACAGTAAACACTCTGTGGCACCTGACAAACACAAACAAGAATGATAGCATCTTTGCATTCTCTCAGTTCTAAATTCCCAGATCTCTCCTTTCTTACAACCATCATCCAGGCCTAGAGAGCAATCATCTTATTCCTAAACTTTCCTAACACCCATTTTGCCTCTTAAAAGTCTTTTCTTAAAAATGTCTTTTTTTTTTTTCTTCCATGAGAGACAGAAAAAGAGAAAGAAAGAGAGAGCATGCCCAACAAAGTCTCAATGCCATAATCAACTCCTAGCCTCAGCTAGCCCCGGATCATGGGCTCACACAAGCCGATTGTACTCAGGAAAGTCTCAGGACAAAGACCCAGAATAAGAACCCAAACATTCCCATGTAGCTCAGTCTCAAAAAGTGTTGCATTTTACCCTGCTGAGCCACTGTCCAGCCCCAAAAGTCTTCATTCTGAATCTTAAGGTCCACTTTGACTCACATGCTCAGACCAAAAGCAAATTGCATGATTCTCCTGTTGCCATTTATTTTTTTAAAGAATTATTTTAACTTTATTTATTTACTTATTTATTTTAATTTGACCAGAGAGGGACAGAGAGAGAGGGTCCAGGATTTGAACCACGGTCAGCCATGTGGAAGTCCAGCACCCCTAATAACCATGCCACCTGCTGGCCCCATGTTCTCACTTCTTCAATGTCTTCCAATTGTCCTTGGAACAGAGTCCAAAGTAGTGCCTGGTTTGGATCTGACTCCTTCTCTGGTGTAGCTCATACTCCTCTCCCTGTTGTTGGCTTGGCTTCAGCCATCTCTGTCCTTCCTGGGCACAGAGCACTCTGAGCTCTTTCCTGCTTCAGGAATTTCCTTGTGCAGTATCCTCTACATGTAGTGCTCTCTGGAACATAACTGCCTCTCATTCCAGTCTAACCCTACGACTAGCTAAATCTAAGCACAATTTCACCTCTTGAGCTTCCCAAGAGGGCTTCCTGTTGGGTTGAGTCCTCTTGTGCAAAGATCCCATATCACTCTTGTCATTCATTGTTTAAAAACCTCTCTTCCCTGTTAGAATGTAAACTCCATATAGTCAGGACAAAGTCTGTTTTGGTTCTTCATGTTCACCATGTATCTGGTGCAAGGCCTAGCTCACTAATTATCCTCATTTACCTAGTTCTGTCTTGTATGACAAACAAATATGTTCTCAAAAATGTTATAGGAAAGCTAGAATGAAAAAGACATACATGCACACAATTAATAAAACCCTACAGTTACATACGATATCTTAACATGAGTTTCTGAAATGTGAATCACCATACTGTTATTTCAGAAAAGTTTTAAGAAACAAAGTTAATTCCTATCGGGAGGCAAGGTATAGAGGATAGTATTTTGGAAACTAGTATTTTACCCTTCAATCCATAAGTTGTTGCTTAATATTCTTCCAAATGATTTCAAATTTCATTAAGGAAAAAAATATACTTGTTCAACATCTCTGGTCACTGGTCAATTCAGTTTTAAATTTCTGTAACTAAGGGCCGGCACGTGGCATGGTGATGAAGGATGCTGGAATCCCACATGGCTGGCCATGGTGCAAATCCTAGACCTGGTGGCTTGCTTTCTCACTTTCTCTTTCTGTCTCTGTCCCTCTCTGTTCAAATTAAAGTAAATAAATAAATAAAATAATTCTTAAAAAAAAAAACAAACTTCTGTAACTAATACAAGAAGATGGAAATCATCTTTACTCATGGGTACTTCGTTATTTTAAAGCTTTAAGGAAGATTTATAGCTTTTGAAGTCAAATCAAACAGGCCTCAAAAGTGATACTGTATAGCCCTGCCAGACTTCAATGAGAAAGCATGTAATAAACACTACACATACATATATTTTACATGTACTTACACAGGGGTCTTCAAACAATTCACTGAATGCCTGTATTCTGAAACTACTATGCACATGTACTTCAACATTTTTTGCAAAAAAATAAACTCATACTTTCATTTTCCTACAAGTTTTTTGTACTCCTTCCATACAATATGTTGACATTTTTAGTATTACAGAATGTAAAAAAAAGAATCTGCATTTTTACACTTACACATGTGTTTATGTTTGTTCTGTACTTATTTTCATTAACTATATTTACCGACTTATTTTCACACACCTCTCCCCTGAATGTAAACCATCAAACATGAGCTACCTTCACTCTCATTAAACTTCTCTGGATACCAGTTACCAGTGGAGGGTGCTGAGACCCTGTGGTTGCAAATTCCATATGATACTCACCAGGTGGCACAGATGTCCAGGGATCAAAGAGGACACATGGACACTGAGGATAGTTTCAATACAAATTGAGCTTGACAGATGCTTTTGTTGTCTTTAAAAAAAAAAAAAAGGCAAAAAGCGGGTTTGCCATTGTGGCCTTTACAGTTGTTGGCTACAAAAACTGCCTGTAAGCTTTTAAAAAAATATTTACGATTGAAAGTGAAATACCAGCTGCAGGCTGTGACTGGATTTATCTGAGTCCTCTCCAGCGATCTGCTCCTCCAGATGGGAGAAAGCAGCTTAAAGCTGTGTGCATCTGATATGCTCAACTCATTTGGCTGCAGAAGAGATTTTATGGGGACCCTAGAAGCTTTAAACACGTTTTACAGACTCTCTAAGTGACTCAGCTGAATTGTAAACAATTTACACAGTTTATTCAGAACTTGAGCGATGAGTAGCGCCCACAGCAGGGGTTCTCGACCTCACACCACATATCAGTCTTTGTTATGGGGGTCCGTCCGGTGCAATGCTGGACGTCTGACAGCGCGCAGCCTCCCCGGCCTCCACCCGCTGGATAACAGTAAGGCCTGCCCCCGCCAATTGTGACACAAACGTCTCCAGACGCGGCCAAAAGTCCCCAGAGGAGCGGAGTGATCCCCAGTAAGGGCGACCCGGGGGCCTGTGAGGAAGCGCCAGTCCGGACCGGGGAGGAAACAGAAGCTTCGCGTTACCAGAGCGAACAGCCTGAGGCCCGGAGGCAGTTCCCGGGGCTCGGCCAGGGACCTCCAGCCCGCGGCCTCCGCCCTCTCCCGACTCGGACCCCAGACCCCGCCCGCCAGCCCGTCCAGCCGCTCACCTAGCCCTGCCCCTCCCCCGGGGCCAAAACGCGCCGACTCGCGGAGACGCTGAGATTCGCTCACAGGCGAGAGACCTGCGGCTCCTCCTCCGGCACCGCCCCGTGCTTCCGCTTCCGGTTTC